GATGAAAAAAAAATAATCAAAAGACATGAAATTGAATTTTTTCTAAGCAATAACTTACAAAATATTGATGACTAAACAAGTGTTTGTAAGAATATGTATAGGAAAGTATGAATGTGTGTATTTGTTGGCGTATATGTTTGTATTTATGTATGTAATGTAAAATCGATTTAGAAAATTAAATTGTTGTCTTTTTTTTTTTTTTGTATTATTTTTGCTTTTTTTAACAAATTATGATGTAATAAATTGGAAAAAAGTATATAATAAATAAAATATATTGAATATTTATATACTTTTATATTTATTTTTACTACATACATACATATGTATGTATGTATGTAAAAATACTGCAATTTTATTTAAAAACATTTTTCAATAAATAAAAGTTTTGAATCTTTTTCTATCCTTTGAGTAAGAAAACTTCAAAAGCATTAATTTCCAATTCCTTTGACTTGTTTATAATAGTTTGATCAAACTACAATTTCCACAACAACAACAATTATAGCAAATATATTGAATACAAATTTGCAATAGTATTTCTTTGTAATTGTGTGCAGGTGTATTTTGTGTGTATATGTAGGTTCAAAAGTTCCATTTACATTTGTTTTCCTGTTCGTTGATTTTACCAAACAAATATTTATACAACATTCGTTATTGAGTTGAGCTGACTGGATGACTGACTAACTGACTGGTTGAATGTGTAACTGACTGTTGTGTCATGGTTTGTTAAACACCACAATTTGGTCATAACTAAAGAACAAATAACAAAGTTGCACTTGCACTTTGTTGTGTATGTGTGTGTGTGTCTGTCTGTCTTTATGGGAATATAATTTTGAAAAAGGGTTAACTACAGTTTTCAACCTGTTCTCTGCAATTATAACAGCAACTATTGGCTTTCACTATTACCACACATACCAAACTGTGCTTAAATGTCCAGCAGTTTTACTGACAGTTAATGTTTCCTCTTTTAGGCAGTATTCCAAATGCTTAAATACTTGGTTAACTGGAAATTGTTTATTTTTGAGTGATTTTTAATGCAGAAACCAATTGTCACTTTAGTGTGACAACTCGTGACTTAGTGCAAATCAAGTAATATTTCTTTCTGTAGTGCATTTTTGTAACTCTAGATATTTTACCCACCATAGGTAATCTATCGCAGAGTCAATTGTAAATTTTTAAGGAAATTTATTTTGTTAGTTAATTTGAAAGGAACAAATCCGAAGAACTATACCTAGGGGTCTATCGGGCCTGCTGTGTGCTCCTTAACCAGTGCCTCAAGTGAAAAATGAACCCACAATCTCCGGTCTACCAGACAAGAACACTAACCTACCGAAGGACACACAATTTTGATTGTACATAAAGGTACAGTAGACTTCCACCAAATATCTAGTTCTAAATATTGGATACAATTACTAGTTGGGGAGGGTTACTCCGAACTGCAGGGTATGTTTGGTTCCTTTTAATTTGAATATGTTTGCAAGAGTATTTGTGTTTATGTATATGTTGGTTTCTATGTATTAAGAAAGATAGAAAGAGAACGAATGCATTTGCTAATTGTTTTCCTTTTAGTTTTCTTTCATTGTTCAATTTCTCTTGGTTGCTAAGCATTGTATGAGAAAATAACGACCTTGTTCAATGTAGAACTTATACTTGCAAATGCACTGTAAGAAATTTCAATTCAAAAGAAAACATATTTAGACAACCAAGTGTTCAACTTACTGCTGCCAGCTAGTGAATCCTTAAGCCTTTTAAAACCAAACTCTAAACTTGGTGTCCTAAACATTTCCTCAAACTTTTCTTTCAGTGTATTGATATAATGAGCCCTAAAGGTAAGATAAACTAACCCTTTCTTTGTTTTACTTTTTTTCTACAATTTTTAACATTCTAAGAAAAACTATGCTACAGCAGTAATATGTACTTGCATTACAAAAAATTTATACCAAAAATAAACATTTTAAGCAAATAGTATGTCCCCTCTGCCATGCAGCATAATAAAACAAAAATTATCAAGGATATTAAAAATAATGAACATTTGTTGGAATTTTACGTTATTATTCGGTTTTTTAAAAACTTTTTTGCTTAAATTAAAATATACATTACTAGATAATATCGAGTATTTATTTATATTTTACCAAATAGGGAAAATTGTAACAAAAGAAATGAGAATGTATCTATGTATATTAGGTCACCTATAAAGTTGATAAATTATATTACTTTTATAATGTTAATATCGCTCATTTGTAACAAAACCGGCACAACTCAAAATGCAGGTTTTTTAACAAATTTCTATAAGATATACCGCGTTCCTATGTGGAATTAGTAAAATGATTTAAAAAATTTCAAAATTTTTTCTTGAAACTACCCCCAATGTATACCCAATATATAAAATTGTTCCCATAATTCTTCCAATAGAGGAAGTCAATGGTTCTAGAATGGTCATGTATAGAAAACCTTCACCACTTTAATGTCGCTAAGTACTCTAGAGAGAAGAACCACTAAACCTTTTATTTTGGAACTGTACCTAAAAATAACTATAGTTATTAATATTTGTCTTTGATTCTATTAGCTTCACAGCGATAAGCTATCGTAAATATTTTTTCATAATATTTACGAAAATTTCGTTTATAATACGAAATATTATTTAATAAAATCCATTCGTATATATCACGAAACAATTTCGTGGTGCGAAACAACGAAACAATCGTACAATGTATGACATTTTTCGTATATATTAGACATGGATTATTTTCAGTGTAGCACATCAATTAGATATTAGCAAAGGTATTATTGCAGTCGCTTTCCGTTAGATTTTTCATCGATGTATTATTAGAACTTATAGCACCCGCAGATTATTGAAAGATAAAATATTATACGCTATACAACAACAACAACTACTGACCATCATTTATCAGCATTTTAACTGCAAATCATGTATGTCAAAGTGAGTATTTTATCAATTTAACACTTTCAATCAAAATCATATATTTTTATTATTTTTTAGAATTTTGTTTTATTTATTTTTTTGTTAAAAAGGATGTCACAAATTATCATCATTTAACAACGCATAACAATCAGTTGTTGTAGTTCTTTGGATTTTATTATTTTCATTATTTGGTTTGTTTTATTGTTACAGCAAACTTTTTTTTGTATTTTAAAATTTTGATGAATGAATGGATGTTTAAATGAATAAAAACACAAACAAAATTAATGTTTGTTTGTATGTAATATTCCAGTTACAGAGTCATACAGTTTGTCAGTTTATATGAATGTTCATGAGTATTTGTTTCGTGAGTAAAAATAACTGACATTTATGAACTACTGCTTGTCTAAATGAATTCTATAATCATCCATAATATCATCAGAATCATTCATATAACCCAACTTATACCCATTTAGTCAACTAACCAACCAACAAACCAACCAAGCAGCCATCATCATCCATTCATTCATTCATACGTACATATATGCAGCTAGTCAATGTACCATCAACCATCATCGGAAGCTGTGTAACACCAAACAACAACAACAACCAAACACTAGTTCTGTGTCTGATTTTATTCACACACAATCCACGTAGACAATGGATCCAAATCCAAGAAGTGCTTTTTTACAATTTCATAAATAAATATTGTAGTTTATTATTTAATTTACTATAATGCATTATTTAAAGACAAAAAATTTTTTTTTCTAGAATGCAGCACATGTACTATATTAGGGTGGTATTCTTTCCATTATGCTTGATTATTACAGGACAATTTTACACTGCCCAGGGAAGGGTTTGCTTTAGGCTTTCTAAATTTGGTTGCAGTATATATTATCTGAACTAAACCATAATTTATTGGAAATCAGCAATTCAGAGTGAAATCATTTTGGTCCTCTGGATATATGTTTAAGACTCTTCTGGATGATAGTTTGGGTGTCTTTTAGAAGTTAAATAATAGATGTTAAATAGAGGACGCAAGACTTCCACGATATGATCGTCTGATTGCGTAGAATCAAGAATATTTAATAGCGGGTCGCAACACATAAAGAATACGTGTAAATCATAACAACCCGCACGTCGAGATGCGTATTCTTGTAATAAATATTTTTTGGTAGAACATATTTCTGCTAGACTTCTGCGATAAAAGGTGTTTGCTGGGATGTTAGCTTTAAACCAAGTCACCTATGTATGTCCAGCACTACTCATAATTCGTAAACAAATATTAAAATACCACCCTAATCTATATGTATGTCAGTTTTACTATAACGAAATATTTATATTTAATATACTCGCTTTAAATTAATAAGTAAAATCGAAACTTTTAAATAAAATTGGTTACTTTTAAGAACATTTTATAGTTTTTTGTTTTGTTTCTTCAGGCAGAATATCCTTTTCTTTATTCTTAACTTGTTAAGTATGTGTGAAAAATATGTATGTGTGTTTGTTTGAATTGGGATTAATACCTGCAACAAAGTTTATTGAACTTTAGATGTATTAAAGAACAACAATTTTTTCAGTTTGTTTTTATTCTTTTCATATATAAAATTTCAAGTTTTCTTGTGAATCCATAGAGTAGTACTCGTAACAAAATAAACCAAAAATAAAAACTCTTCACACACACACACATACAACAGGAGAAACAAAAAAGGAAGAAAAAAACGAAACACATTGAAAACCACCTGCCTTAAACAATATTTTGGTATATATTCTTTAGTTTTTTTTTGGTATGTTCTGCTCTACCATGAAATATCATGTTTTAATTGGTTTGCTTGTTATTCCTGGTTTTAATACTTGAATTTTTTTATATTTTGTTTTTCACTTTTAATCATAACAAAAAAAAATAAATAAATACACTCTCACATAATCATCATGTATGTATGTAAGTTTGTGTGTACTAATATAGGACACTCTATAAACATTACAGGATTAAAAAAAAAACAAACAAAAAAAATTGAAAAACAAGTACTTAGTATGTTGAAAAAAAGAAATAAATAAAAAATTAATGAAATTTAATACATACTTGTTTGGCTTTAGGTTCCTGCAAATAAAATTAAAAGAAAAATAAAAAAATTAATATAATTTGGTTTAAAATATAGAGAAAAAATACAATTTTGATGCCAATTTTTAAAATAAATAATTATAATTATGGAAATAATTAAATTAAGTACTTGTACAATATTTAAATTAAATATTATTGTTTTAAAATCAAACAAAATATTAATATACATAAATGAATTAAACCCCATTGGAAATCAAATTATTATAATTTTAGTTTGTAATAAACACCACCAAATAGGGAGAGAGAGAATTCAAAGTTCGAACATATGAAAATATTGCTTCAAAAGTATAGTAACAGAGGCAGCAATCTCCACTTTTATAATTTTTTTAAATACTACATTGAAAACAAATCTAAAATTATGACCCATTTTAAAATTGAGCATAGAGTTTTGAATTCAGTTTTAGCATTTCGACTGTTCACCCATTTTTATAACCCTACACAACTATAGTGGGGAGTGTATTATGCGTTTGTGTGGTGAAGTTTGTAACACCCAAAAATATTGGTCCCACGCATACCCTAAAGTATAGCAATCGGCCCAGAATCTCTGAGATGATAAAAATATGCCCGTCTATGTGTCCATGTAAACCTTGTGCACATGCTGCAGGACTAAGACTATTGAATATGGTTGGAATCGTTCCATTATATCACCTAGCCCCCATACAATCGGACCTCAAGAATGGAGTTTTTGAGCTCATAACTATGTTAAATGTTCTAGTGCGTCTACAAAATTCTTCAAAACTTAGTTTTTTATTAGTCTAAATGATACTGCCGATTTTCGTAATGATCAGGACTCATTTGAACCTAACACCATACAAATTCCTTTTTAGAAAATGACTTGATTGAAAACTTGTTAAAATATTTCGGAATTAGAGTAAAAAACAACTTAAATGCTTTATTAATAAACAAGTAAGAAATTATAGTCGGGCGAGGCCGACCATATAATACCCTACACCTGTTACAAAATTAAAATGTGATTTAGTTTTCATAATAAAGCATTTAAGTTGAATTGTACCTTGCCTCAGATATACTTAAGCCATTTATTGTTGAATAAAATTGTGGACATTTAAGTCAAATTTTGAAGGGGGCTTTGTATAGGTGTTATGGTCAAATGAGACCCTATAATTATAAAATTCATGAGAGTCATCAAGACTAGTATAGCACTTGGTTTTGCAGCTTTTTGTTGAGATAGGAGTATATTAAACATAATTATGAATTTAAAAGCCCTATTCGTCGGGTTGGGGGCTAGGTGAAATAATGGACCATTTTTAATAGGCTTTATCTCCGGTACTATAGAAGATCATGTGCCAAATTTCATTGAATTATCATCAAAATTGCGACCTGTAGTTTCATTACAAGGTTTACAAGCCCTATTCAGGGGTTCAGTTGTATGGGGGCTAGGTGAAATAATGGACCGCTCTTAACCATTTTCAATAGGCTTTGTCCCTGGGACAATAGAAGATCATGTACCAAATTTCATTGAATTATCTTCAAAATTGCGACCTGTAGTTTGATTAAAAGGTTTACATGGACGGACAGACAGAATTCTCATTGAAGCAAATGACGAAGTAAAGTTTAACATTCAAAATTTTCAACTCACTTTAAAGAGTTACAATCAAATTAAAATGAAAACAAGTTTTTTTTTTAATTCCTAAAAATGTAGAACAAATTTGATACATTTTCGATAATAGTATGTAAAATGTCAGCATATTACTACAGATCCCTTTAAAAGTATGTATTAAATAACTACATATGTCAAAAAAAGTAATAATATTTTTTACAATATAATTTAACAATGTAAAATAAATAACATTTTAAACGGAAAGCAAATAAATACGAATTAAAACAATTTGTGTAATTACTTAATTTTCGTATTTTTTTAAATACATAATGAAACGTGTTCAACATAAATTTGTAATGATTAAATATGACAAACAATTGTAATATATTTATGTAAATATTTATTTACAAACACACGCATTTTGCATTATTGTTTTTTTTTATTTGGATTTTTAATTTATTTTGCAGTTTTATAAGCCACCAAGCGGATGGTGTTTAATTTACATGTTTCAGTGTAATTAAAAATTAATTGACACAGGTGAGAAAAAACACTATATTTTTATGAAAGAAGACAAAAAAAAAAATGTAACAAACTCAAACCTATATTCATGTACTTATGTACATAATAATGAAGATTTTTTGCAACAAAACAAATATGCATTTTTTGCATTTCAAATAAATGTTATAAAAATCATATAAAATACATTGATATTTATCTGTGAATGTATTAATGTACGTGTAAGTTTAAAAAAAATAATTTTTTTCGTATGAATTCAAATGCAGATGCAATTTTCAGATGCGAAATACGTGATAACAAAATAATAAATCCTTTAAAAATAACAACAACAATCACACAATGCAAAGATTTTCTAAAACAACCATAACTGCAATGTGCAACAACCAGTCAGTCAGTCCATATTATCAATGCCTAGAAACCAAACCAAGCGAGAATTTTATATATCCCAGCAAACAAACTTCTACACACACTCACGCTCACACACTTTCAGCAGCATCCGTGGCAGATGCAAAAAAAATATTATAAAAACTACAATAAATTCAGAAAAAATACGAATATAATAAAGCATACAAAATAATGTTGCATGCCTCGTGTGTGTAAGTATGTGACTACATGCCGTGTATGGTAGAAATCCATAATATTTGTTGTACTTGCTAATGCAACTGCAACATTAAAACCTGATGCTTAATGTGAAAAAACAGCAGCAACAACAACAATATATAAAGGATGCTTAAAAATCCTGTAATGTGCCATTGTATTATACATTTACATGATTTCAGACTGTGTTGTCTACTGTTCAAATAAAATTAAACACATATTGACATTATTACCTTATGTACAAGACCTTAGAGGGTTCATAAGAGTTTTCCCGAAGTTTTTTTAAAACCTGTTATTTATATTTTGTTCCCAAACCCAGCAGTTCGGTCGGACAGTCCCGAACTACCTATTTAACAAACCACTTAGGGTTACACATAGCCACCGACTGTCCAGGTGACTAACTATTTTAACATGTGTTTGTCCTACGAAGAAGTCAGTCGTCACCCCATAGATTACGAAAAGACAGACAAAAAGCTTATGTTTGTTACGAGAATATCTTCAGCCTCGATTACAAAGAGTAAGACGAATTAGACGAAAGGCGAATTAGAGTCAACCAGGTGGTTAGACGTTAATGGAAATCATTGTATTTTTCGGATGAATTTTTGTCGAACTGCAGGGAATATATGAAATAAATCGAACAAAACTATAAAATCGACCCTAAAAGCAGATTCTAAATTTAATGTTACATATAATAGAAACACTTATAATAAAAGCACCAATATGACCACACTGTTAACCTACTACTTTTATAATTATTTGGTATATACTACTTATATGTTAAAATAACGATAGTTTTAAATTTATCAAATAAAGAATTTACATACAAATTTAAACAATACATCTTTTATCATGAATATATTTTGATAAAGAAGTAAAATTTGTTCAAAATCGTTAAAATCAAGAACTACTGTAAATGGATCGTGGGAAGTGTTTCTGTGAAGTTTTATTTTCGCCCGATAGCTGGCGTCTTTGTTTTGGTTAATTATACTTAAACTACTCACATTAGTTACAGGATTAAACTTATTAGTTGGAGTTGACTCGTAATATTGCTAACACTAAATTTAATTTGTTCACAAAAATTTTAAGTTAAAAGCTTTTAAAATCTTAAATAAACAAAAATTTATAACATAGTACTTCATTTTATTTTCTTCTCTTGCTATTTTTGTTTTTTTTTTTTTTATTATATTTATATAAGGATTTTTAAGAAAATTTACGGAGGAGAGTGCAGTATGTCACGAACGACATTTTGAAGGAGCAATGCACTTAAAGCGCAATACAAATGTAGTATAACGTTCCTTCATCATACAATAAGAGTACTAGTACTCCATAGTATAATACGTGTATATACTTGTGTTTTATATAATTAAAGGGTTTCTGATATATGGACAATTTCCGGTCCCAACTGTGACCCAACTTTTAAAATCTATGACTTCAGATTTGGTTGAAATTTGCACCAAGGTTAGTACTATTGGATAGTAGGCCAGACACAAAGGAAGTTACATCCATTTTAATAAAACCCTGTATGACCAAAATATCAAACTTTGACCTGCTCTAACTCCGGCAGTTTTTGACCGATAGAGCAAATAGTCTGGCCTATATACAATAGTACTAATCTTGGTGCAAGTTTCATCCAAATCGATTTTTTAAGTTGGGTCACTTGACACGAAATTGCCCAAATATGTAATTTAAACAAACATATATACATATATATCTTCTTAATATTTATAAATTGCAGGGAATTTTAAAGTTTATCTTACTATTGGTTTCCTTAAAAGGAAATTGTACAAGAAACCCTATTACAGATATACAATTTAATATGAATCCATACGTACATACATACATATGTATGTATGTTTGTACGAATATTATCGGTATGTAGTATGCGAAATGCAAATGTATGATGATATTCTACTATTTGAATAAAAATGCTACACATCATACATACATAGGTATCAGAACATTGTAAATATGAGTAAATGTTTGCTAGTACATGTATGTATCTATACTTGTATACGGTAGCAAATATCAGGATATTTAATGTTGCACATCCATACAAATGTAAATATATATGTACATATGTGTTAGTAATATATGAAGTATCCGAACAAGTAGATGAACGAACATAAAAATGCGAGTACGAGTAGTTAAATGTTTGCAGATCTACTACATGTTTACAATATAAATATATGAAGAATCTGTTCTATTACTACTTTACTATTTTATATTTTTAGTCTTAGTTGTATTAGTTTTTAAGGAGGCCTCTTTGGAATACAAACACCTAGAGAAAAAATTTCATTGATTATAATAC